AGCCACATTACCCCTAACCTGAACAGCAGCAGAGAGCTGCATTAAGCATCCACACACCAGCTTGCAAATGGAGATTGTCCAACTAAACAGCTTGGTCAGGGAGGACAAAATGTCACAACTCCCCCAGCTATGTTCTGTGCTTTGGTGATGCCTCACAGCTACTGCCCTAGAAGAACAGAAAACAATGGGACTCCCAGAACTGGCCTGGGGAAAGGAAGCTTTGACACTTGTAAATCCCGTCATGTAGCCTCTGGATAGAAGGAACGAAATTGCATGTACCTGTCTGCTGGACATAGCAGCTCCCAGATGCAGGACTCACCAAGCCAAAACTCATATACCATAAAGTGGCAGGTTTCTACTGTCCCCCTCTATGGTAAGCAATATTTAGTCAACTTTAGCCTGTGAGAAGCCAAGCATAAATATTTGGTCTTGGTGTTTTTATTCAATTTCTTCTTCTCTTAACTAATGTCTGGCAAAGCTTGTCCCCATCCTTGGAGGTTACTTGGGTACAGCCACTTCTATGAAACCCTCATTTTCATTTAACACCTAGATGCATTAAGAAGTTGAACCTTGACTTTGCTTGAAACACTCAGGTCTAGAAGGTAAAATGATTAGTAACAGAAGGAGGAAAAGTAATGTGTGTGTTGCTGAACTAAAACATCACGTGAGATAGAAGCTGGTAGTTTCCTAGCCAAGGTGCTGATCCTGCTGGTTTGTTGATCAGGTGAGCTACTCACACCTGTTTGCTGCAATAAGCATTATTGAAATAGAGCCAGTCCAGCTCATTATCTCTACACAATTCCAGACAAAATTACTAAGGTCATGTCCACTTAATGAATGCTGACAATCATTGTTGATACAAAACTGAGAAAGCATGGCTCAGGATGTGGTAAAGACATCTTCACAGGTACTGGGAGGTGTTAAATATGACCTCATCTTCTCTTTTACTTCTGATGCTGAAATAAGCAGTTAAAGAAAATACACCCTCCCCCCACCAGCCCCAGACTGCCAGCCTCCTGAAGATCAACACATCTGCAAACACATTCTGCAAACCTCAGGGAAGAAAGCCAGATTGCAGCCTGCCTTATCTCTTCTGACTGGCTGAATGTATTTCAGGCCTCGAGCATCACATGACTGTACATAACATGTGAATACAATAACTAACATGGCTTTTATAACAGATCAGCAGGGATCAGCAGTGTTGAACAAACACCCTTATTTGCAAAAGCACCTTCCCAGCCCATGAAGCAGGTGACCTTGTCTCCCAAGGGTTACAGTGCAGAGTTAATGATCCACAAATTAAGGATTTGGAATTTATCCACAGCTCCCCTCTTAACTGCACCATTTTGTACCAAATCAAATAAACACTGTCACTGCTCTATAGAAACCCAGTGCTGTAAGAGAGGCCAGAGTTCACAAGGCAGTGGACAGTGCATTTTTGCAAGAAGGCATCTGCTGGTGGGGACAAGATTTCATGAGAATGCACAGATCAGTATCTTGCTCAATGTGCTTTGTTGTACCTCCCACTGAGGAACACAGCACATATCACACCATCCACAGTGAGATGTGGCTCCACAGTGGCCTGGGGACTCCTAAAGACCAGCCCAGTCTATAAACCATTAGTATTTTCCAGAAACAGGTTTATACACACTGGAAAGATCTGATTGTACAGGACAGAATCCTTTATGCTCTGCTGGATCATGGGATTCACAAGATTTATTTCCACATGAAATGCCATATGGAAAAATCCCCTTGCCTCTTGCATTCTCAAGAAACTATACCCTATACCTCAACAGTGAGAAGCCCTTATTTACCCATATATTTATAGAGTAACATTATGTGCACAAAAGGCAGTACACTTCTAACCAGACTATGCTTCTTTTACAACTGGTGTAGCTAAGTTGAGCTCACAGGGTCTTGTCATTGCCACTTGAAGACCCCCTGAATCTGTTGGTCAGTATAACCTCTGGGTAAATCCTGTGGACTTTTGACTCTGTGGGCCTGGAACATCATGCTCTTTCCTCACTAGGGAGTTTTTGGCTGTGGCAGTGCATTCACTGCTGTTCAAGCTGGCTTTAGAAGTTGCAGTCTGCCCTAAGAGACTAATTCCTACACATTTGCTGTGCTGGTCAAAGCTTTTGTCTGGCCACAGGACTGACAAAGAGCTCCTGTGGTAGAAGTTCAACAGAAAGGAGGAAATGGAATATTTTAAATCCACTCTACAGCCTGCCCTCTTTAAGAGAAGCTGAGTCAAGCAGGCACGAATCACTTGGACAAAGTAGGGCCTGTTGGTCATTTGTCTGTAGAAGACAGCAAGCCTGAGCCAGCATGTCCAGGTCTCTCTTGGCAGAACTTCTACAGGGAAGCAGTATAGTCTGTCTAACCACCTCTGTTTCCTCCAGCACTTTATCAACATCCATTCCCTCCTGTTTGTCTTTTTCAGCAGGGTCTTTTTTAGCTGATTGCTTTGATACAAATGAGCCCTCCTGCAGCTCAACTACATTTATCTGTGTAGAAAGTTTGCTTCATAAGAAACAGTTCACTGCTAGGTTAAATCATGGCTTTCCTCTGCCGCTGGCCACAATAAAGAACAGCAGCAACAAGATGAAGAATCCCAGCTTTAGGGATAAAAAGGAGAAATTCAGGCACACTGTTGTATAATATGGTCACACATATCCCCTTTACAACTGTTTTCTCTCCCCATTATAATTACCCATATCTTTGTCTTGAGAGTTTAGAGTTTGACTAGTGCTTATAAAGCTGGCTCTTTTCAAGGTCCCATTGCTGCCTGTATCAGCCAGCACATAACACACTTCTTTACACTCAGAGTCACTTTTCAAATCTCAGTTCTGATTACTTCAAGGCTGTGTTTCACGCTCTGCTGTTATTTATTTTAATGAACTCTGCCTACTCTATCATTTGGTTCAAACTAGGAGATCTTTGGAGCTGTTATGCTACACACAAATACAGGATGATACAGCAAAGTAACCTAAATGGAATGAGGCCAAACAACATGTAATCATGTCTAACAAGGAGGGAGGGGAGAAAGTGCAGAGAGGGATGGGTGGGGAGGAGTGAGATGCAATAAATACTGTGTGAAGAAAACCCATGCCTCTTACTATACATGAGGCCTGGCAAATGAACAGGAGGACATCTGAAAAGAAAGAGGAGGGTCTGGCAGTCAGGTGGATGGACAGTGAAAGCCATTTACTGCATTGGCAGCCGATTTTTTTTTTTCTCTAGTGGCCTATTTTCACAAGGGGGCTAACATAGCTCTTGAGAAAAACCTCTGCAAAAAATTATTTTTTTTTGCATTGTTGTTCATGACTTGAAGAGAACAGAAAAGGAAAAAAAAAGTACAGAGTTCCACCAAGAAAAGAGTCTCCAGACAGCTACCTGCTTGCTAATCTTGTTACCTGAAGACCCAGCCTTCTCAGTTCTTTGCATTAACTAGAGTCTTCTTTACCTCTCTTCCCATAAAGCTCATATTAATTTCTTTCTCTTTAAGTGGAGTGAGTAGGCAGTGATTTTATGATGTGCTTCTTGGGCAGAGCTAGAAATGGGATAAACTTCTGAGGCAGAAATAACACAAACATGCAAAGGGAAAGAAGAACAGGAGATGATGAATTCGAAGGAAGAGCTGAAGCCCAGGAGGTTTTTACCCCTTCCTCATAACCAACCACAGTCATGGAAGCACTTTATCTTGTTCTCCAAATTCTTGGACATGAACCTCTAACCTCTAACTAAGCATACCAGAACTCCCCCTACTGAAGAGCCATCACAACCACAAGTAAATATTTGGGGAGTTTCTTTGGCAAAAGACTTCTCTGTTGTAAAGTTTCAAGTCCTTATCAAACTTAGACAAAAAACAAATGAAAGAATTCCCTTTTGGATATATGCTACCAAAGAACATGCAATTTAAACATATTTTGGTTGACTTTTTTGGAAACCACAAAGCGTGGAAACAGGATATAGACAGATATATAAAGTCTTAGAGACACTACTTGCTGGAATACAGCTGAGTATAAATGAACTGAGATGCCAAGCAACAAGGAAGGCCTGTCCACAAACTGTGAGCTCACAGCCACCTTGACCCAAGTCTGCAGTTAGGATTAAGAGCTGAACCACAGCCATTTCAAGCACCATGACATTATCTCACCTTAAGTCCTTTTGCTGATCCAAAATAAGGTTTATTTGTGGATCGGTATTTTGTGACTGACATTTTTATGTACCTCATTTTCTGTTGTGGCAATGACTGTTGTGGCAACAAGTGATAATGCCTTGTACTTCAGAGTTTGCTGATGTATAAGCCACTCCAGAGGCAATTTCCCAGGAAGAAAGCAGCAATGAGCCATGCATCAGCCATATAGAGAACATTGAGAAGAGTTAGAGTGTGCTGCTGTGCCACCAATCTTCTCAGCAATTAGAAAAAGAAAGGTTGGCAGAGACACTTGGTCCCCAGCAGTGTTTCTTGTCAGGTTTTTGAGCTGTAAAACTCAAGAGCTAGAAAAAGCAAAAAAAAATTCAAGAGCCACTTAGTGAGAGGAAGGGGCTCTTTGCCAAAGCATGGGTCAATGGAAATCTGCTGTGACCAAAAGAGTAAGTAACACAGAGATGGCCCCCATGTCACAGCTTCTATTAGCACAGGGACTTCCACATGACCACTTCTGACTGACCATGATTCCATCAGCAATGTGTACACACCATGTTTGGTACTGTCATAGATGTAAAAAGGCATAAGTAGAAAGGGAATAGCAAACCTATCACCCCAAATAGCATAAAGAGATTATTTTCCTAAAATATAGGTGCTGAATGTCAGTTTGATGCCAATCACCGGTTTTTAATTATTTTTTTTATTGCTTCACAAGACTTTTTCATGCAAATGCTAAGTGCTGAAAGAAAATGCTAAAAGTAAAAATGTGATAGGATAGGCTCAGGAAAAGCTTTCTCCTGAAAAAAAGGTTAGATTTGAATGAATTATCATTTTACAACACAGACATTTCAATGTTTCTTATTATTGTGATTAATTCCTTTCAATAATCTCTCAAGAAGGAACATCCTTTTACTATCTGTAAGCCTGGAATTACTATGCAAGTGTGCTGAAGAGTGCTAGAGACAGGGAGACAGGTATGTACTCAAAGCCACCTGGGTACTTCTCCTTCATGACTCACTCTGGAAACCTCAAAGGAAGCATGAAGAGAGTGTTTCTCTCCAAACGACAATAGAACAATCCATGCCCTTGACAAATCAGGTCAGAACAAAGTAGGCTGCTTCATTTTCACTCCAATATCCTTTTGCATGCTCTTCAACAAGGAAGACAAGAAGAGTACATTAAGTGGCTTTCCCCATCCACATTATCCTGTTCTGCATCTGTGTTGATGATACATGCTGATGAGTTAAATTCTTTCCTTAGACCATGTGTGTATGTGAAGTTGTGTTCTCTTCTCCAAGAATGTGAGCAGGAAGCGCGTTCTGAGTCTTGAGATTCTACTCATCAATGGAATATGCTGCCATTATTGCACTAAGCTGCCACAAATAAGAGTTGTGCACTCTCAAGAGCAAAAGAGGAAACACAGCAGCAGTACTGCCAGTACTTTGCAGAGGCACAAGAAGGTCAGTGTTCCACAGATATGCTCTACATATAGACATGTGTGTATGCAAGAAATTTATTCCCTCCCCTGGTGTGCTACATGTTGTTTTGTACATACAGCCCTCTTTTCTGATGGCAAGCCTTAAGGAAGTACCATCAAAACAAGATCCCTGGATATGCGTGAAATTGTTTGACTTGTCCATATTTTACTTTTTCAAGCTTTGGCACACAAGTTTCACTTCCAGAAAAAAAACAAAAAACAAAGGGGGCTTAGACATAGGGAACCAATTTTGATCCCTGATTTAGTTTTCAGCACTCTGTTGATGCTTATATCTGATAGTGCTTGTTTCTGTCACTTTCTACAAGAAAAGCAATAGTTAAGTTGGCATGAGATTCCCTATGTCATTGACAATTTCATAGTACTGGAATCAGGTGGACTTTGGCTGTTTCATCTCTATTCAGTTGTTTGCTTTGTAATCAATCTATTTTTAAAATCAGAATAACCTCTCATGGATATTTGGCTGTGTCTGAGTGCAGTACATGAATTAACCTTCAAATGTGCAAATGTAACAGTCTGCAATGATTGCAGTCATCTTTCATTACAGACCCTTTTACACAAATAGGTTTCTTCCACATAGGAAAGCTTCCTCAAAATTAGCAAAACCAATACCACAGGCATCAAAGGAAGGAGGCACCAGAGGCAGAATCCAAGAAGCAAGGGGAGCCCTATCACTCAGCCCAAGGCCAGGGACAATGTGACCATCCTCACTGTCCTTCCTTGAACTCTGCCAGGGTTATCATCTCTGTGCTGGCCCCAGAGCAGGTGCACATCATCTCTTAGAATCTGAGCCTGAGCTGGCATTCCAAACTGCTTAGCTTCCAGTGAGCCCTGACACATCTGTGGCCTATCACAACAGGTACCTGCCAGAAAGAGACCTATTTCTGAAGGAGATATTAACCTCAAAGCTAGAAGTGTCCATCCTTTCTTGAACCCACAAATATGTCTACTCTTGTAAAATGCACCATGGCTTATGTCAGAGGATAGATTGCTAAAAATTTTTCAAGTGAAGTGTGTACAGAAGAATCAGACTGGGCTGGGGAGAAGCAAAGGCAGAATTTGAAATGGTGGCAGCTGAAATAAGCTCAGGACAGTATCTACAGAAAGAGTTTCCAGTCACTATGACCAGAATTATGATCCTGCAAATCACCAAGATATGTTAGATTTCTAATTACCTGAGTTAAAATGAGTAGTACTACCCCATATTACATATAGTTACTGGGAAAGCCCAAAGCTATCATTTCATTAAGCATCATTTAGATTTCTTCTGCATTTGTGTAGACCAGATTCTCTACTGCATTACACTACTCATGCACAGTTAGCTCTGGTCAGGTCAGGGCAGTTAAAACAACTGAATTCCAAGTAGCATAAAGAAAATTTAGACCTACTCTCTTGATAATTTTGAACAGTCATTTGACCCCTTATCTATAACTTGTACCCTTACAACTTACTGAACTGAGGAGAAAGATCTTTGGGACATTAGGTACTCATCAGCTGATAAAGCATGTCACTATTGTCTTCCTCTCTACACAGCTTCAGAAAGATGTTAAGAAGGAGAAAACCAGCAAAGGGATGAAAAGTGCTACTGAAAAAAGTGAATAGGTAAATGAAAAAGCTCTGAATCTTCCAGTGTGTGTTTATTACTTTCAAAGTAGCTAACTATGTGTTTTAAACTACTTCACGAGCTTAATGAGCCTGGTATTTGAGGAATGAGTTCATTGAGTTATGAGTTCAGCATAAGGAAATTACGGTGGAGACATTAGTTAGAAAACACTTGTAAATTGATGACATTTTACAAAAACAAACAAAACAAGAAACACAAAGCAAATACAGCAGACTTATTGGAATATTCCCCAAAAGAAATAAAAAGGTGATTTATCAAATCTGAGATCCCCATGAAATTCTAAAGAAAGCTACAATTGGAGAATTAATGATTCAACATCCATACTAGCAGCTGTCACATTCAGTGTAGTAATTAAGCAAATCAATCCTTTTGTTAGAAAGGTATAAATGAAAATACCAATTTTACAGGCAGAAAAGGAGCAAGATAGTTAATAATTGTCATCATCTAAATATAAACTCAGAATTATATGACACCAAGTTTTATTCTCATTCCTTTGGATCATGCGGACTAGATCAGTTCCATTAAATCTCTTTTACATTCAGGACACACACAGAAGAGCAGTGAGCCTGCAAGCTACCTGACTGTACAGCTACTGCACAATGCACTCTGTGGATACCAAAGGGAAATAAATAGAAATTCTATCAAAATACAGTATGAAAAAATAAGCAAGTAAAATACTTCTACCAAAATATTTTTGCTAAATTCAAACAGCTGCTACATTTTCTGCACCTAGCTGAAAGCACTCTCATTGTTCTAGAAGAAGTCCATCACAGTCTCACCTGACTTCCTTGTCTGTCAGACTGTGGTGGGATGGAAGCTGTGAATTCATACATGAAGAGCAAAATGTAAGAAAAACTTATTGAAAATAAATATGCTAAATTGATTAAGGAAGTACATAGAAATCAGCCATAGTATGGTACAAAATAGATATGCAGCTTTAATTGTAGCTCCTACGATGTGTGCTAGATACATTTCCTTCTTTGTCTTGGAGAAGCATCCATAAAAAGAACAAACAATTTAAGTTATCACAAAAAATATAATTAGAATTAATGATGACACAGATTAAATATATAATTAATTCAAAATTTAGTACCAGAACCATCCATTCCTATCTAAGCCATCTAAAGGTGGAAAAGGGGATTTTACAAATGTTTACAGGAGCTACCAACCTGTGACTTGTTTCTTTAAAGTATGGTTTTTGTTGCTACTCTATTGTATGCACAAGGAAATCTAAAATGGATGGCATCACTCCTAAAAACAAGAACAGAAAACCTCCAAAAAAACCCATCTACAAAAGAGATAAAGTTCCAGACTCTGGTTCTGTTCTTTCTGCAACACTGTACAATCCTGACATTCAACGCTGGGAAAGAGCATGAAGGTAGTCAAAAACTTATAGTTGTTATTCTTCTTTATGGAGACATTCATAAACATACTCACACAGCTATCAACACTTCAAGAAACCAAATGTTTTAAGAAAAAACCCACTAATCTAAATAAAGAAAGGGACTTGGGCAGCCTTATTCCAACAGTTGTGTATTCTGGTCAAGAAACACTGATGTTACAGGTTATAAGCACAGTGTTATAAGCACAGGCCAAGTGCTTATAATTAGCCTCCTAAATCCAAATTTATCACTAAAAAGAAATTAAATCTACATGCATACACAGAAGACCAAATTCTGTCCAAATTTAGTCACTGATAAAAGAGTTATATTTACCAACCTGTGGCACATCTGGAAGAGTTACAGGCACGGCTCAGGTGGGGAGTAAATCAGGACAGAATTAAACCTCTGGAGTGCATGGCTATATGGCAGCCAGATGTGCTGTCTGTCAACAAGAATAATCCCTTCTGAGGCACTGACTCCATCCCCAGCAGAAGGAGCATTATTAGCCAGTGTCATGCAGGCAGTTTCACTAATGTACTCCCTTGGTTTCAGGGATAAACACATGCAGAACCCTGCAATGCATAACTCCCGCACACTAATAGAGTTAGGCAGACTGGTCAGACCTCCCAAGCTGAAGGTCAAACAGTGTAACTTGTAAAATATCCAGCCTGCAATCCCCTCCACTCATAGTGGTTACAGTCTCCTTGTTTGCACTTCACCCAGTCAGCCTGCAGGTGATTGCTTGCCAGAGGATTTGCAGCTTTGCCTCAGAATAGCACAAGATACTTTTATCTTAAGAAACACAAAGTGATTGCCACAGTATATTTGTCAGTATATCTGACAGTAAACTGAGGCAAAACAGCCAGAATTCTTAACTAGAAATGCCACAAACATCTCAGGAGATTTGTCTCTGATAGCTACCTACCTCCAGACTGCCGAAGACATTTGTAGAGCCTGGACCATGTTCCATGTTTATCTGATTAAAAGAGTAATGATTCTTCTCTGGAAGATGATGACAGAGCAGATGATCCAGCAGGCTCTTTCCTAGTCTGTATATGGCTTGATAGATGCTACATTCAATTTTCCATGGCTACACAATGCATGGAATGGAGACCTAAAGTTTTAGTACTTCATATGCATGAGGAGTAGAACAATGAATTCCTAAAGTCAGATTCCCATACCGATACTCAAGGTGGTCAACATTTCACTTATGGCATTGATGTCACCAGCAGTATTCACAGAGAAGCACTGGTCTGCCTAAGGATGATAAAACCTAACTCATGGCAACTTAATACAGGTATCCCTTGCACTTTGAAAACAAAATATCATCATGCAAAACTCTTCTAGTAGAGGAGTGCAACTTTAAAGCTTCTTGACTGCCACTCTGTGTCTATGGAGACACTAGAAAGCTTTGCTAATTGACAAAAAAAAAAAGAAATGAAAGCATCAAAGCAGTGAAGTAAATTAATAAAATTAATGTTCCCTGGAAATGACATTGAGGCTTAGAAATATTTTTAATCATGTAACTATTAATCCTCGTTGTTGGAAGATGCATGCTGAGGGCTGGGGCTTGGGGTTCATCATCAGGGATGTTCCATCCACCCTGTAGGAGGATTTGGAGTCACTCTTTGAGGCCTCTCTTTTGACCTCTTGCTCTAAGAGACTTCCTTGCAAAGCTTTTCTGCCAGTCAAAGTAAGGGAGGTTTCAACCTGAGGTACAGAATAGTGGAATTTAAGAAAAAGTTTGGAGCTATCATTGCTGAATTTTACAGCATGTTGCAATCCTCTATGTGTAGAAAATCATGCTGTGAAAAGCCACAAAGGAGACAGACAGACAAAGAGACATTGCTACTTGCTTTGGGATGAACAATTTTCCATCATTTCTCTGTGAGAGAAATGACTGGAATGGTACATTAAAGTTACAGGGATCACAGTGTGACCCATGTCTTTTGGGGACAATTCATACAAAGGACGGCTGTGCAGACTTGAGCACTTTTCCCCAGTTGTACCCAGTAACACCAACTGATAAAATGTTTGTTCCTGTATCCCATAATAGGACTTAAGGATTGTATTCAAGTAGCTGTTCATGAATCTATGACAATAACTGAAATGGGAAAGCAGAAGTTGCCTTTCTTGTCATGAAAATCTGTATTATGTCTGTTAGAGCTTACTGGTTTGTATCCAGAATTTAATTTCTTTTCTACAGAAGCAAATCAATTTTAAGCACTAAGGTATTTTGATGTATTCGTTTATCTCTGATTTATTTGTATAAACATGACAAATTTAAATTCTAAACACCTTCAACCCTTCACCCCTCTGATGGTAATTAATTCATAGCGTGTTCCAGTGCCACTCAGTGCAGGCTTAATCAGATCATCAGTGGTGGATGTTAACCACAACATCTGTGACATTTGCATCAAACCAGGAGGAGCCTGGTGCTGTATGAAACCACTCTCATGACACAGTTCATTTTGAGAGTGTAAGTAGCCATGCTGCTTAGAAAACAGGATTAGATGTAGTATTCTATTAGCACACTTAATCCATAACTAAAATAATATTCATTACTCCTATCCCGTTGTAGGAGACAAATGTCTTATTTAAGCTCAGAATGACCCATCTGAACAGGACCTATGGAGTTACATTATGAAACTGAAATCTGTAATGAAAAAGATAAGTTGGAGCTTGTAACACAGCAAAATTGTGTATCAGCTAGGACACTGCTGTGTCAGAGGTGCCACTACTTTGTCAGCATTGTTCCTTTGCAGGTGGCAAGGATAAAATTATATTTTTTTCCTTTAGATATTACACTGTGGTCTATAGTGGAGAGGTCCAACCACTATGCCTTCCCTGGATATATCTGAGCAAAGCATTAACTTTTCAGACCATTGACTGTCTGCTGGTATTTCCACAATATCTGTGTTGCAGCCATGGTTTTGACTCACACTCCAGGGCTGAGCTGGAGGACTCCAGACTAAAACAATGAGTGCCGACAGCTCCAGTGGAAGAGCCAAGCTCCTGTCGTGAGTGGCTGTCAGAACACATATGCTGTGCGTGTGCACTAGAGGACGGACTTGAACAGTAATGCTGTGTTTTTCTCCAGACACAAAGGCTGTCTGTAAGCCCTGTCAGAACTACTTCTTCTGGACTGGAAACAGCTGCAGGATCTTTGTCAGGGAGCTTGCTGTGGAAGTGTCACGCTGGTGACTGCCTTTAACAGAAGTGAGTGCAAAATAGCTGCCTGCCTCTACAGCAGGGCTGCGGTGTTCTGCTGAGGAGAGACAGCTATCTATGCACTATACCTATATATATGTATATATCTATATCTATCTATATTTATCTATCTATATCTATCTCTATCTATATCTATCTATCTCTATCTATATCTCCATCTACATCTACATCTACATCTATATCTATATCTATCTATATATATCTATGTACTATCTATCTATATTATCTTGTGCCACTGGCTTGCCCTAATTCTAACCTAATTCTAATTTGCATTTTTGGACAAAGGTATAATTTTTATGTTAGTACTCACTGGTGTGGGAGAATAATCAGTCATATAATTTTTAAATTAGTTTTTAGTCAAAATTTATCCT